ATTGCATGGAAATGGAAGGAGACCCTCATTGTTATACAAAATTACATATAAGAGGATGTGAGGGGAAAGGGAAAAAAAATCAAGGGAGAGAAATGAATTACAGTAGATGGGGTAGAGAGAGAAGATGGGAGGGGCGGGGAGGGGGGACAGTAGAAGATAGGAAAGATAGCAGAATACAATAGTCACTAGTATGGCAATATGTAAACGTGGATGTGTAACCGATGTGATTCTGCAATCTGTATACGGGGTAAAAATGGGAGTTCATAACCCACTTGAATCAAATGTATGAAATATGATATGTCAAGAGCTTTGTAATGTTTTGAACAATCAATAAAAAAGAAAGGAAGGAAGGAAAGGGAAAGGGAAAGGAGATATGGTTCAGTGGTTAAAAGCCCTTGGGTTCCATCACTGGTACCAAAGGGGATAAATCCGCTAGCGCTGGGCACGGTGGCACATGCCTGTAATCCAAGCGACTTGGGAGGGTGAGGCAGGAGGATTGCAAGTTTGGGGCCAGGCTTAACAACATAACAATACCCTGTTTCAAAATAAAAAGGACTGGGGCTGGGGTTGTGGCTCAGCGGTAGTGCACTCGCCTAGCTCATGTAAGGGCCTGGGTTTGATTCTCAGCACCACATAAAAATAAGTAAACAAAATAAAGGTATTGTGTCCAACTACAACTAGAAAATAAATATTAAAAAAATAAAATAAAAAAATAAAAAGGTGGGGCTGGGGCTGGGCTCAGAGGTAGAGCGCTCGCCTAGTATGTGGAAGGCACTGGGTTTGATCCTCAGCACCACGTAAAAATAAAATAAAGGCATTGGGTCCATCTGCAACTAAAAAGAATTGTTTTTAAATAAATAAATAAATACAAAAGGGCTGGGAATGTGGATCAGAGTAAAGGACCCCTGGATTCAAACCTGGTACCAAATAAATAAATGAGTAAATACCATAAAAATACACTGGAACAAAAAAAGCAGATTGGTGATTCCCAGGAATGAAGAGAGAACAATGGGGAGTGAGTAGTCCATGAGTTTGGGTTTTACTTTGGAATGAGGAAAATCTTTTGAAATTAGAGGACATGTAACTGACATAGAATGATTTACTTTAAAATGATTGATTTTTATGTGATGTAAACCTTACCTCAATTTGAAAAATCCACTGGTAGGGAATTTATGGAATAAGAAAAATGTCTTAGAAGTCTACAGCTCCTTCTCCAGCTGAGGCCATTGTTTACAGCCACCTGCGTCCATCCTAATAAGGAGGAGTCCCTTTTGGAAACATAAGCCAGATCTAATCAGAGTATTGATTTCAAAACAGATCCTGCAGAAAAACGTCAGAAATCACCCTGGATATAAAAGAAGAAACAAAACAGCTAGAAATGTTGCTAACTTAGGAGCACTTATCACTACTCCCAGCTGTTATTTTTATTATTATGTTAGCAGACATCTCCAAGGTCTTGAAAAACATCTAAATTGCAAGAATACATTTTTCCCTTAAAATCAAATAAATTGGTGCACCCAAAAATGCACAGTAAGGTAAAATGGAAATAACTGAGAGAGGAGACCTTTGTAAGGAGTTCACATGTAAATGTTTTTTCTTTACAGAATATACAATACTGGCTTTGCAACATTTCCCAATTTAATGCACAGATTAGATTGATATCATTGTGCATTTTGCAACTTACAAATCTCTCACATGGATATGCCATTTGCAAATGGAGACTTGTATATGCTTCTGAATCCAGCTGAACAAAGAACTGTTTTTATTACATTACCATGCCCAGCTGCATCCCTTAAAGGAATGGTTACTAAACAGATCAAAGGGCTCCTCTCCTCTTCTATTGATCTCCTAGATGATGATTTGATTGCCCCCATGTTTTATGATTTCACAAGCTTACTAGGTTTGAGCGGGGACCAGCTAAGATTTATAAATTCTTTCTTACAACACACACACACACATACACACACACACATGCACTCAGTGGAGTTATAATAAAACAGAGTGAGTCACACTGCAGATTTTTAGATTTATGTTGCTGCAACGCCTCAGTGGTTCTTTGTAGCTCAGGCTACCAAGAAAAATGAAGATTGATCATGGAGGACTCTCTAGGCTCAGTTTCTCATTGATTCATCACTATAGATACCAGATGGTTACTCTCTTCCCTGATGAGGCAAGTGGTCTCTGTTCAGTGTCTGAAACATTTCATTCTACCTCTATCACAGGCTCTTAGGACTTATAAAATGCTCAATGGAGTGTAAGAAAATCATTTATATAAGGTTTGAAGTTCTGGAATACAATTAATAGTGGGTTCTAGTACATTGTTGATTATTATACAATGCAAAAAAGCATCATTTCTTATGAATGCTGTTTTTTAAAATATTTTTATTAGTTATTGATGGATCTTTATTTATTTGCTTATTTGTGGTGCTGAGAATTGAACCCCTCACACATGCTAGCAAGCACTCTACCAAGACACAACCCCAGCCCCCATGAGTGCTATTTTCATTTGTTTGTTTGGGGTACTGATGACCTTGAACTTGTGACCCTCCTGCCTCAGTTTCCCAAATTGATGGGATTATAAGCATGCCCCACTATGTCCACTTTTTTTTTTTTTAAGTGATGGAGTCTCACTATATTGCCCAGGATGCCCCAAACTCCTGAGCTCAAGCAAACCTTCTGCTTCAGCCTCCCAAGTAGCTGGGAGTACAGGTTCTACAGGCACATACCACCAGAGGTGTTTATTAAAACAAATTAAACTCAAAGATTCATCTACTATGCCATTATTATGAGAAAGGAGAGGTATAATCTCCATCTTTGATTTCCTGGCATAAGAATTCATACATGACATAATACACTCCTATTGTCCTTTAGAACAAAACAATCCTTTACTAAAACAGACTTTAGCTCAATAAAAGGAAATTTCTGGCGTGTGAAACTGTCTGTCCACAGAATAAACTAGTTTAAAGTACAAACAAGAGTCTAGATTAGAATTAGGGTGAAAGCAGAAGCTAGGTCCAATCTGAGTCCCTGAGATGTTAATCATCACACAGATATTAATCACCTCCTGCTTACTGAGAAATGCTAGTATTTGAAGAAGATATGTAAGAAGGAAAAAGTAGATCTTGTAATATTAATGGATCAATCTTATAATATTAATGGATCACCTTATTCAATAGATAGGAACTAAGAACAAAGTAATCTTAGGTCATATTTTTAAAAAATATTTATTTTTTAGTTGTAGTTGGACACAATATCTTTATTTATTTATATGTGGTACTGAGGATCGAACCCAGGGCTTCACACATGCTAGGCGAGAGCTCTAATGCTGAGCTACAACCCCAGCCCCTTAGATCATATTTGAACTTGATAGACTCTGCCAAGTACTATTCTGAGTTTTTACATATTCACTTAGTTCTTATAACAACCTTCTGAATTAGGTGCCCCTTTAAATTTAGAGAAATTACATAACACATTCAAGATCACATAGTTAGCAAGCAGCAATGCTGGGATTCAAAGCTATGCAGTGTGTCTCCACGATTCATGTTCTTAACCATTATGCAAATATGGCCTTTATGTCTTTATTTGGGGGATAGGGAAATATGTTCTTGGCAATCTTTGTCTTCATCATCTTCTAATTTGAAATATTATTTAACTGATTTTTCTCTTGGGAAAATGTTTCTTGAGAAACATTAGAAGAGGCAGAAAATCTTTTCTCATTTCAGTGAAAATAACATCACACAAAGAATCCTTGGAAGACCATAGACATCATCAGAACAAAATCAAAATGTAGTCAAGATAAAGCCACAATATCCATTCCATGTTAAGTAAATACTTGGCAGGCTTTCAGAAGGACAATATGGCATTTCATTTGTGAGAAGACTATTAATTTCTGTAAGTAATACAATTTAGATTTTATTAGCTCAGTTTTGAAGAGAGGTCAATATCAAACTCATATACACAACATTATATTGAAAAAGGATAAAAAATGAGAAACTAAAAAGGATAAAAAATGAGAAACTACGCTTAAGTCATGGTCTATGAAAGAAAAAAAAGTGAACATCAGATCACCACCTGCTTGAAACTTCTTGACAGGAGTCTGAGGGCCTCACTATGTTGCCTAGACTCATCTTTAACTCATGGGCTCAAATGATCCTCTTGAGTCTGTTTCTGGGTAGCTGGGACTATAGGTGTGTGCCACCATACTATATCCTGGTTCCTAAATCTGGACTTCTGACATGTGATATTGCACAGTAAATGGTTAACTCAGCAGGCTTTGATTATCACTGTGTACCCCAGATGCCAATTGGCCACAGGAGACAGTTTATGCTAAAAATCCGATTTATGGTGAATGCCTATTTTGTAGACCTGGAGTCCTGTACTATGCTTTATCAGTTTGACTTCAGGGAAGGTTCTGGGGTCTGAATGCTGATCAATCAATCACACAGGCACCATATGACTCGCTAACTGACCCAAACAAAACAAAAACAAAATACTACACTGAACAGTAGGTCTTGAGTGAACTTCCCTGGTTGGTGACACTTTACATACCATAAAAAATTGCTTAAAGAATTAAGCATTATCCTTGCAACTCCATGGGAGAAGACACCTGTGAACTTGTGCCTGGTTTTCCTCGATTCCACCCATTTGTCTATTCCCTTTGCTGGTCTTAATCTGTATCCTTTTGCTTTAATAAACAATAACCATGAATATATCAGCTTTTCTGGGTCTTGTGAGTCCTTCTAGTGCATTACTGAACACAAATGTAGCCTTAGGGATCCTGACATACATATGTTAACATGAGATAAAAATTAAAATATTAAGTAATCTGTGCAAGAGATATTTAAGAAGCAATGAATTCTATAGTTGCTACTTTGTTCATTTTCTAATACAATGAATGTACATGTTTATTAAATATCTATTTTATGGCACTTTAATTCACAACCTGTCTCTTAAAGGGTTTTGGTTATTTTTTTAAAATCCACAGTAAACACATTTCAAAGTAAGCTAAAATAAATTTTTATTAAATGTTAGAAGAGATATATACACAATTCACAGATTCTTTACAAAACAATTGCCAATCCTTGTCCAATTTTTAAAGTTTATACAGATTTGGAAATTTTGCTACAAAATATTTCATTTAGAAAGAATCAGGAGGCTAATTTTAAGCAAAATAATGTTCAAAATTGAAGTCTGCATAAAAGTAAGCAGCTCTCAAACATTCTTATTCTTTATCCCAGTCACAAAATAAGGGGAAAATGAATATTAAGCTGACTTGCTGAGGAAACAAAAAGTATTCTGTAAACTTCTGAAATTCACCTGAAATGTTTTATTATTACTTTCAGAAGGAGTGCCATTACAAGTTATCAACAAATCATACTATGTATGCAAATAAAATTAAATATGTCATCACAAATAAGCACCTCTTATTGTAAGATATGTTAAGAAGTCTTATTACACTGAAGGCTTATGACACAGTGTCTTCACACAGGTAATGATAATTCATCCATTTTATGAACAAACATTTCTTTAGTAGTATTGCTGGTTTAAGGGGGGGAAAAAAAACTCTACAAGTTTAAAATATGATGGCAAATACAAAAGCAGCCAGTAGTTTTGGTCTTTTGAGAGTATACCCTGTGGTTTAACAAAGACTGGCTTTGATTCTCCCATTCAAAAGCATACCTCTTTTTCCCAAGAGGATGACTGTCCAACTGATGCTGTTCCACAGAACAGAATCCTTACTGCCAACTTTAAAGGGATATGGCTCAACAAAGGAAAAAACAGTGATCACTTTACCTCAAAGATGGGAAGCAAAAATCAACATCAAAGTATATGGAATTTTAAAATATGCTGTTTTGGAAAAATTCCCCTGAGCTCTAGTGCTTTTCACATATAGTCTCTAGTGAAACAGGTGCATTCCTTCGTTCCAATTGTACCTAGGATTCTTGGCGCTGAAAATAGATAAGGTATGTCTTGAACAGCACAACGTGGTAGTGATTACATGTTTTGGGAAATCTTTGGTGAAATACAGTCCTGTAGAAATTTCCTTACTTTGTTTGCTTCCTTCCTCATAATATGCCTAGCATCTTCAAGTTATTTTCAGAGGAGAAACCACAAGACCATAATGAAGGACAAGCAGACCATCCTGAAAAGGGGAAGGAGAGAAAAAGACTATTTTGCAGTTTTTTGAAAACTAGTTATGCAAATGACCATATCAAAGCTGATTTATTTATTTGGGGTACTGAGAACCCAGGATGCTTTACTGCTGAGCTACATGCCCAGTTCTTTTAATTTTTTTTTTTTTTTTTGAAACAGGATCTCATTAAGTTGCTGAGACTGGCCTCAAACTTGTGATTCTCCCACCTCAGCATCCCTAGTCATTGGGATTATAGACATGCCTTGGGGCCCAGCAGGCAAGGTTGCTTATGACAAACAATTATCCAAAGATGAATAAAAAAGATTTATCTTTTCTTCTTCTTTTTTTTTTTTAAATATTTATTCTTTAGTTTTCGGTGGACACAACATCTTTGTTGGTATGTGGTGTTGAGGATCGAACCCGGGTCGCATGCATGCCAGGCGAGCGCGCTACCACCTGAGCCACATCCCCAGCCCCCTCTTTTCTTCTTCTTAAAGTATCATGGATCTGTTTAAGAAATGAAACGTTTAGCTGGGCACAGTGGCTTATGCCTGAAATTATGGCAACTGAGGAGGTAGAGGTGGGAGAATCCAAGTTTAAAGCCAGCCTCAGCAATTTAGAGAGACCCTGTCTCAAAATAAAAATAAAAAATGGACTGCGGATGTAGCTCAGTGGTAGGGTGCACTTGGTTCAACTCCCAGTACTATTTAAAAAAAGAAATGTTCATTTCCACTTACGTACAGTTCACTACTACTGTAAGTAATGTAACTTTGTAACTCTTACCCATTTCATGGAAGCCTAAAATTAATCATATAGTTTACATCCTCCCTTGAAGATTGTCCTTAGGGATGATGGGCAACTTAACTTTATACTAAATGATTCTAGATGCTCTGTTTCCAAGTCTTTTTTTTTTTTTAAGAGACAGAGAGAATTTTTTAATATTTATTTTTTAGTTTTCAGTGGACACAACATCTTTTATTTTATTTTTTTATGTAGTGCTGAGGATCGAACCCAGCACCCCGCACATGCCAGGCAAGCGTGTTACCACTTGAGACACATCCCCAGCCCTCCAAGTCTTTTTATCAGCTTTTTTTGTGGGTCTCTGTTTCCCTTCTGAATATCAGGTCTTAATTCTTTGTACTCTCACCAAGCCTGTATTCAGTAAGTAACTCACCTTTATAAGGTACTATTTCTATTTTCCTATGGACTGAAAAACTAGCTAAAAGGAAAGACTCATTGGGAAATGTAACAAGGACTTCTCTGAGTAACAAAAAGGAGTGGTGGCACATATCACTTGAATTGGCAATCCTTATTTCTCCCTAACCTTTTCTTCTTCACTAAGATTTTCCATGGCTCCCCTTCCTAATTTCTTACCCACTACTCTGTGATCTGGCTTCTGTTCCTGGCAACTCCAGCAAAAATTATCAGAATTCTAAAAGAGGGTTCACAAATTCAAATGCCCCATGAGGACCAAGAAAGTAGCATAAATGAATATTTAAGTTAGGCATATTGAGTCTATAGGGAATGACAAAGGCCAGTCAACAGTAAACCAAAGAGCAGATAGATGACTGCTTGAAAAAATTTTGTTGTTGTTCTTATTGTTGCTGGGAGTGAAGCCCAGGGCCTTAAGCATGCTAGATAAGTGCTCGGCTGCAGAGTTACATCCTCAGAACCCAATGAAGAAATTTAAACTCAAAATAAACAATTTTTTTAAAAAAATTAGCTTGTCTCAATGGGTGCAGTGGAAAAACCGGTAATCTCAGTGACTCAGAAGGCTGAGGCAGAAGGATCACAAGTTCAAAGCTAGCATGGCGGGCTGGGGTTGTGGCTCGGTGGTAGAGCGCTTGCCTAGCATGCGTGAGGCCCTGGGTTCGATCCTCAACACTACATAAAAATAAATAAACAAACAAAATAAAGGTATTAAAAAAAAAAAAAAGCTAGCATATCTCAAAATAAAATTTAAAGGGCTAGAGAGTCTGGTGTGGTGGTACACACCTATAATTTCAGCGGCTTGGGAGGCTGAAGCAGGAGGATTGCGGGTTCAAAACCAGCCTCAGCAAAAGTGAGGCGCTAAGCAACTCAGTGAGACCCTGTCTCTAAAAATACAAAGTAGGGCTGGGGATGTGGTTCAGTGGTTGAGTGCCCCTGAGTTCAAGCCCCCAGTACCAAAAAAAAAAAAAAAAGTAGGGAGCCTAGAGATAAGCTCAATGATACAGTGCTTGCCTAGAATGTACAATGCCCTGGACTCAATCCCCACAAAAAAATACATTAAAAATAATAAACATATTAAAAAATATATATATAAAAAAATACAGAATAAGTCAAATAAAGCATAACCCCATACAATGTCTCTGAACCATCAGATCTATTCTAGACTTAGTAACTGATCAAAGCAAATGATTTTGTGTAACAGAAATAGATCCTTAGGGGCTGGGGATGTGGCTCAAGCGGTAGCGCGCTTGCCTGGCATGTGCGCGGCGCTGGGTTTGATCCTCAGCACCACATACAAATAAAATAAAGATGCTGTGTCTGCCGAAAACTGAAAAATAAATATTAAAAAATTCTCTCTCCCTCTCTCTCTTAAAAAAAAAAGATCCTTAACAGTTTTTATATGCAGAGAAATTATATTTTACATGTTAATTTTTGCATAGTTATGTTTCATAAATGAAAAGCATCATTTTATAAAACAGTATACTGATATGCACAGATATAAAATGGAAATGTGGATTGCAAGCTCTTTCAAGATCTCAAAATTATTTCAATAAAATAATATTTTATGAAATAATTATTCAAGTTTATATCTAGATGTCTAAAATTTTTAGTTTCTATATAGTATATTTTTATAAATATAAACATGTCAATATATCTATATTTATATTTTCTATTTAGATGTCTCCATTAATGGTGTCAGTTTTAACTATTCACTATGGTTTGGATATGATTTCTCTTTATAGATTCATGTGCTGGAAACTTGGTCCCCAGTGTGGCAGTGTGAAGATGATGGAAACCTGAAGTAGAGTTGCCGGGTGTGACATATGCCTGTAATCCCAGTAGCTCCAGAGGCTGAGGCAGGAGGATCAGGAGTTCAAAGCCAGCCTCAGCAGCTTAACAAGGACCTAAACAACTCAGAGAGACCCTGTCTCTAAATAAAATACAAAAAAGGGCTGGGAGTGTGGCTCAGGGTTTAAGCGCCCCTGAGTTTGATCACCAGTAAAAAAAAAAAAAAAAGGAGAGAGAGAGAGGTAAAGTGGAAGGTGATTAGGACATGAATGAAGTCTCAAGGGAGGGGGTCAGGTCTTTTTACAGGACTGGATCAATTCCCTCAAGAATGGGTTGTTATAAAGCAAGTTCAACTATTTTAGCTCACTTCTTGCACAGGTACCCCTTATGAATATTGCTAGATCCCTTTCTACTTCTCAGCCAGGGGACTCTGGCAAGGACACAAACATTATCTGTTTGGGCCTTTTGGCCACCAGAATCACAAGCCAAATAACTTATTTTCTTTGTAAGTTAATCTTCTTCAGGTATTTTGTTATAAAGACACAAAGAGACTAGATATTATTCAATCAGTGAGTCTTCTATAATGTAAGTCATTTCATCTATTCATCCATTCACTCTGTGATACCGGGGATTGAACCAGAGACACTTTACCACTGTTCTGCATGCCTAGTCCTTTTTATTTTATTTTTTATTTTCAAACAGGATCTCACTAAGCTGCTGAAGCTGATCCTCCTGCTTCAGACAAGTAGCTGGGATTATAAGCATGTGCCAGCACACCCAGCTAGTTACTTTAAGGAAGAACAGAGACCTACTTGCATTGCTGCATCACCTATTGCACGTCGGATCTCCCTTAGAGTCTGGTACTGCTCCAGCAAGTGATCACCACAGATGATATCTACCTATGGAAGAACAAGAGCACATCAGATCACTTTCTGCAAGACACCATATGAAGAAATGAAGGGGAGAATATCAACATAATAAGTATTCTTACTTAAAAAAAAAAAAAAAGGAAGAAAAAAAGCATACTATGCAAATTAGCTCGATTTAGCTATCCCACAGAGTATACATACTTTAAAACATCATGTATATAATAAATATAGATAATTTTGTCAAAAAAATAATAAATGGGTGGTGGGATACCAACTTTGAGTTTTGGGAATCAATTTTCTGGGGTTTTTTTTTTTTCCTCTCCCAGAATTAGGGATTGAACTCAGGGCTTCTCATACATGCTAGGAAAATGCTAACCACTGAGTTTCATCCACAGTCCTGACAATCAAAATCTCTTAAATCACCACATGTGGCACTTATAATCTAAATCCTAGAGAGGACCCCTCCTGTTTTAGAAACATTAGACTGTTTGTTAAGATCACTCACAATTCTTGGTGCAGGAGTCCTTAAACAACTGTCTCTAACCCAAAGCCCAAAGAGAGCCTCAATTATGCCATGGTTACAAGGTAATAAGTTATTTCTAATTTTCTTTATATATATATATATATATATATATTTATTTATTTATTTATTCTTAGTGATGCTGAGGATCGAACCCAGGGCCTCGCATGTGCTAGGCAAGCGCTCTACCACTGAGCCACAACCCCAGCCCTCTAATTTTCATTGTACATGAGAATCAACCAGTATATGTCAAGCTCAGAGAGATCACTTTAATTTGATTTAATATACATTTTTAGTACTATGGTACTAAAAACACTAACAAAATTTCAGCATCATTTTAACATAGCTACCAATTTAGTAAACAGCAGGATATTTTAGATAAGAAATATTCCATAAAATTTTACACATATGGAGAATTATAAAAACTCCTTATAAATTTGACTAATGAAAAAGCAATGCTATTTCCAGTGCATTTTCACTGGAACCACATAACTATACATATGTGTATCTTTAATGTTCAATAATATGTAAGGTTTGAGATTTACAGTTTACAAGAAAATATTATACAACTAGAATAGGAGGGGTTTTGTTTGTTTATTTTTTGCTTTTTGGTGGGGCTGGAGAGCAAAAAGAGATATTTTATAATCCTTAAAAAAAAACTAATAGGGGGGCTGGGACTGTGGCTCAGCCGTAGCACACTTGCCTGGTATGTGTGAGGCACTGGGTTCGATTCTTAGCACTATAGAGTACTTGTCTAGCAGGCATAAGGCCCTGGGTTCAATTCCCAGCACTGTAAAAAAAACAAAAAAAATCCACCAAAACTAATAAGGTCTACCTTAGACAGATATTACAATTTTCTAGGGTTTGTTTAGTACTGGGGATTGAACCCAGAGGAGCTTAACCACTGAGATATAGCACTAGCCCTTTAAATTTTTTGAGATGGGTCTCACAAAGTTGCTTAGGGTCTCAGCTTCCTGACTTATTGGGATTACAGACATGTACCACCATGCCCTGACACTTTTCCAGGTATTTTGAGCTTGCTTATTACACTACACTTGCAAGGATGTTCTCTGAAGAAAAGTGGATGATAAGTAATCTTTTGCTTTACTACCAAATGAGAAAGAGCTAGAATTGAGAGTCTAGAAGTTCTTAAATATTTCTCATATCCTCAGCTTTCCTCTAACACTAAGAGATGGTCATTGATGGCAAAAAGAAATGAACAGAAAATCAAATGTGATCAAAGTTGGGGGTGGGAATTACTGTGTATCAACATTCAATTGGTATTTACAATGTCTACAGTATCATAAAACAAAGCCACTACACAAAATCCTAGCAAGAAAAATCAAAACAGTTATTTCGTCAATATGGGTAAAGGTAATCTCACATCTTCACCTGTCCTTTTACATACATGATGCACTGTACCTGACAAGCTGGATCAAGACCCATTTTTCTTCTGAGGAATTTTTCTACATGTCCAATAGTGGCTTCTCCTGAAACTCGAACAAACTTCTTTTCCAATGGCTACAAAAATAAACAGATAAATCTATTTTCAGAATTTATATATGTATACATAAATATAAAATATGTAAATCTTTAAAATATGTATATCTTGCCGGGCGCAGCAGCACAGGTCTGTCCCAACAGCTCTGGAGGCTGAGGCAGGAGGATCGAGAGTTCAAAGTCAGCCTCAGCAAAAGGCACTAAGCAACTCAGTGAGACCCTATCTCAACATAAAATACAAAATAGGGCTAGGGATGAGGCTCAGTGGTCAAGTTCCTTTAGGTTCAATCTTCAGTACCAAAAAAAAAAAAAAAAAGATAATGTGTACCTTAAGACATATTTTATAGCAAAGCTGATTTAATTTTCTTGAGAGAAAAATTACTATGAAATTTGAGTTCATTTATATTCCAAAGAAAAATAGAAATTCTTCTCTGTTTTTCCTCTCTGAAAAGTATGTCAAAAATTTATTTAATAGAAAGGCTTTCTAGCTTATTTTATTATTTTTGTGGTACTGAAGACTGAACCCAGGGTCATTTTACCACTAAGCTATACCTCCAGCCATTTTAAATTTTATTTTATTTATATTTCCAGATAGGGTCTTGCCCAGGCTGGACTGAGATCCTCCTGCCTCACCCACTCAAGTAGCTAGGATAATTTAATAGCACATCAAAACCACAACAAAGGGCTGTAGGTTTATCTCAGGGGTGGAATGCTTGTCTAGCATACAGGAGACTCTGGGTTCAATCCCTAGTATCATTTTTTAAAAAAGAGAGATAGAGAGCTAGGGGTATAGCTAAGTGGTATAATGCTTGCCTAACATAATCAAGGTCCTGGATTTGATCCCTAATCTGCAAAAAGAAAAAATGTTGAGCATGTGGCACACACCTGTAGTCCCAACTACTTGGGAGGCTGATCACTTGGGCCCAGGTTTTTGAGGCCAGCCTGTGCAACATAGTCAGGTCCTGTCTCATCAAAAAGAAAGATAAAGAGGAAATGGCAGGGGAGGGGTAGCAATTCAGAGTAAAAGTTATTCGTTCATTTCAAGTAGTAAACTTACAATTCAAAGACAGAGAGAATACACAGGATCAAATGTTTAAAACCTAGTTTCTTCAACAACAAAAACTGCAAAGAAAAAATAAAATGGAGAAGGAATAGTAAAACTAAAAAGAAAAAAAAAAGATGTAGTATCATTATTATGTTAAAGTAGTCCTTATTATTTATTTATTCTGGTATTGGAGATTGAACATAGAAGTGCTTTACTACTTAGCTACATCCCCAGAACCTTTTGTTGTTGTTTTTGAGACAGGGCCTCACTAAGTTGCTCTAGCTAACCTTGAATTTGTGATCCTCCTGCCTGAGCATCTCAAGTAACTGGAATTATAGGTGTGCATCACTATACATGGCTAAGAATAGCCCTTATCCTCTGTTTATCTTTATTACTGATGTTGTTATTATTATTATTTGCTGAGCTGGTGATCAAATCCAGGGTTTTGCACACACTAGGCAAATGTTCTACCTTTGAGCTACATTCCCAACCCTGCCCTTATCTTTTAGAAGCAAACTGAATTACTTATGTAAAAATGATATACAGTCTGGGATTTGCTTCAAAATTATGAGAGGAGGACTGGGATTATAGCTCAGTAGTGGAGTGCCTGCCTAGTACATGTGAGACACTGGGTTCGATCTGCAGCACCACATAAAAAAATAAAGGTATTGTATCTACTTACAATTAAAAATATTTTTTAAAAATTGTATGAGAGGAAGAAGAGCAGTGAAGGTATAAACGAATATGTACACAGGATTCCGTTATACTATTCTGTCTAATATTGTATGAGTTTAAAATTTTCCATAATAAGCAGGGTGCAGTGGCACACACCTGTAGTCCCAGATACTCTGGAGGCTTAGATAGGAGGATCACTTGAACCCAAGAATTGGAGACCAGCCAGGGCAACACAGCAAGACTCTGCCAAAGAGAGCGGGCAGGGAAACTGGGTGCAGTGGCACACTTCTGTAATCCCAGCTACTCAGGAGGCTAAAGCAGGAGGATCACAAGCTCAAGCCCAGCTTAGGCAATTTAGCAAGACCCTGGCTCAAAATAAAAAGGACTGGGGATGTATTTCAGTGGTAGAATGCTTGCCACCAAGTCAAGCATGTGTGGGGCCATAGGTTCAAACCCAGGTTCTGGAGGGGGAAAAAACATTTTAAAAACCTTCAATCTGTCAGAAACTACAGGACAAGTGACTCAGTTTTGTCAACAAAAATTATAAGAAAAAATAAGGAAATAGAAACCTTAATGACCTAACAACTAAAACAAAGCCATACTACAATTTAGACAAAATTTTGAATATCAAGTAGATTTCTTTTTTCCTTCTTTTGCAATAGGGTTTCATCATGTTGCCCACACTGTTCTCAAAGTCTTGGGCTCAGGTTATCTTCCTGCCTTAGCCCACATAGCTTGGGCAATAGATGTATACCACTGAGCCTAGCTCTAGATATTTGATAATAAGAAATTGTTGGGCTGGGGTTGTGGCTCAGTGGTAGAGTGCTTGCCTCATATGTGTGAGGCACTGGGTTTGATTCTCAGCACTGCATATAAGTAAATGAATAAAATAAAGGTCCATCAACAACTAAAAAAAAAAGAAAGAAAGAAATTGTTAATTCTTTCATTCATTACCCTCAAGCTTTAAAAAATGACAAATTTACAAAGTTATAAAAATAATAAACTCTCCAATAACCTTCACTTAGTTAACCATCTATTAATACTTTACTTTATTTGCTTCATTTTTTCTTATGTGTGTATATGCGTATTTTTTTTCCTTAGACAACTAGAATTATTCGCAGGCACTGAAATATTTAAAACTAAACAGACTGGCAGTTAACTTTTCAGAGTAAGGGGATTTGATTTTCCTAATTAACTATAATGTAATTGTCAGGAAGTGGTATGGAAGTACTCCGAAAAATTTTTAAAATTAATATAATTATGTAAATAAGTCCATACTCAAATTTCTCCAATTGTTATAATGATATTCTTTATAAACTGTTCTTCTTCTTCTTATTTTTTGGTATTGGGGATTGAACTCAGGGGCACTCAACCCCTAAGCCACATCCCCATCCCTATTTTGTATTTAGAGACAGGGTCTCAATGAATTGCTTGGGATCTTGCCATTGCTGAGGCTGGCTTTGAACTCGTGATCCTCCTGTCTCAGCCTCCTGAGATTAAAGGCACGTGCTGCCGCACCCTGCATAAACTGTATTTCTTTTGATCTAACTCAAAGAAGGATCACACATTGCATTTGTTTGTCACATCTCTGTAATCTTTAGTTCAGAATAGTTCTGCCCATCTTATTTTTATCTTTCATAAAATGGACATTTAGTAACATATTTTTAGGTATGATATGTGGTCATTAAAAAGAAAACAAAGGCACAGTTGCACATGCCTATAACCACAGTGATTTAGGAGGCTAAGGAAGGAGGGTTACAAGTTCTAGGCAAGCCTGGGCAACTTAGCAAGACACTACTTCAAAATAAAATATAGGCTGGGTAGATTACCCTTCAGTGCAATCCCTAGACCAAGGGGAAAAAAGAAAGAGAAAGTGGGAAAGGGAAAGAGAAAGAGATTGATTCATCTTTTTTTTTTTAATATTTATTTTTTTAGGTTTAAGTGGACACAATATCTTTATTTTACATTTATGTGGTTCTGAGGATAGAACCCAGTGCCTCATGCATACTAGGCAAGCGTTCCACCACTGAGCCACAACCCCAGTCCCTGATTCATCTTTTTAAGAATACTGAAATGTTGGGCTAGGGATATAGCTCAGTTGGTAGAATGTTTGCCTTGCATGCATAAGGCCCTGAGTGCAATCCCCAGCACCACAAAAAAAAAAAAAAAAAAAAAAAAAATACTGAAATGTTGCCAGGCATGGTGGTGCACACCTGTAATCCCAGCAGTTTGGGAGGCTGAGGCAGGAGGATCACAAGTTCAAAACCAGCCTCAGTAAAAGCAAAGTGCTAAGCAATTCAGCAAGACCCTGTCTCTAAATAAAATACAAAATAGGGCTTGGGATATGGCTCCAAATGTGGCTGAGTATCCCGGGGTTCAATCTCCAGTACCAAAAAAAGAAAACTGAAGTGTTTCCAGAATAAGTAGTATAGTGCTGAGGACTGTTGAAAGGTGAGTGGATGGGAGCATAGAAAAAATAAAATTGGACATTAGTTAATAATTGGTAAAGCTGATGATGGGTATATGAAAGTTCGATTCTGTCTACTTCTTAGACTGTTGTTACAATGTTGCAGAGCATAGTGGCAGATGTCTGTAATCCCAGCCACTCACAAATTGGAGGTCAGGCACAGCAATTTAGTGGGGCCCTCAGAAACTCAGTGAGGCCCTCAGCAACCTATTGAGACAGGTATCAAAATAAAAAACAAAAAGGATGTGGGCTGGGGTTGTGGCTCAGTGATAGAATGCTCACCTAGCACACATGAGGCATTGGGTTCACACCTCACATAAAAATGAAATAAAGATATTGTGCCGACCTACAACTAAAACATTGAAAAAAAGGGGTTGGGGGTTGAGGATGTAGTTCAGTGGTAAAGTGCCTCAGGGTTAAATCACCAGACCCCCAACCCAAAACCAAAAAGTTAAAATGCTGCTGCTTTGTAGAAACTTTTATATTGAATATGGAAAAGAGAATTCATGACATTGATTCATAGGTTTAGGGAGTTAGACATTTAACAACCAGGTATCAACCTAGTAAAATAGGTTTAATTTGAACTCACTTATTAAATACAAAAGAGAAGGTGGGAAAGAGAAAGAGATTGATTCATCTTTATAAGAATACTGAAATATTGGGATGGGGATATAGCTCAGTTGGTAGAGTGTTTGCCTTGCATGCATAAGTAATGTTTTTTAAGTAATGTAATACTAAATTATACTGAAAAAGCTATAAGTAGAACATCTATTATAAATACAGAAGTTAAAAACAATGAGACTGCAAATTTGTTAACTACAATTGTGTAAAAGACTGTTTCAACAATGCAAAAAGTCACAAAATACAGTTAATAGAATCATTTATTTCTAAAACAATACATTCATCACTTCTCATAGTTATAAGCCTACAAATTAACATCTGTATTATCAGTTTAACAGAAAATGTAATATCTCGAAACTATGAGAATAGTATAATGATTCCTATATACTTATCACCTCGCTTTAGCAACTCAAGGTCAATCTTGTTTTAGATTCATTCACCTATTTCCCATCCTATCTATCCTATTTCCTGGCTCACCCTTGTCCTCCACATGTGTTTGGAAGCAAATCCAAAATATAGCATTTCATCTGAAAGTACTTTGGTATATCTCTAAAGAACTTTTTAAAAACTCGAGTATAATATCATTATCACACCTTAAAATTCCTTGATATCAGAAAATATCTAGTAAGCTTCAAATTTCAACAATTGTCTCTATTTTTATTTATTTTTCTCTAGAAGAAAATGATTTTGTTTTCTAGGGCTGAGGGAATAAAATTAAAGTTTTATAAAAAAAAAAACAACATAATAACCAGTGGTGGATTCAAACTAAAATAGTAACATTTATCAGATACAATTTTTTTTAATATTTTATTTTTTAGTTATAGTCGGACATAATAGCTCTATTTCTTTTTATGTGGTGCTGAGGATTGAACCCAGGACCTTGCACATGCTAAGCGAGTGCTCTGCCACTAAGCCACAACCCCTGCTGAGATACAATTTTTCAAAAATATTTATTTTTTAGTTGTAGTTGGGCACAATACCTTTTATTTATTTATTTTTTATGTGACGCTGAGGATCGAATCCAGGACCTCACACATGCTAGACAAGCACTCTACCGCTGAGAAACAACCCCAGCGCCCAGATACAATTTTTATATTCCCAATAAGTTTATACCAAATAAATTATAAACAATGCTTCTACTTTAAATTTCTATTGGATCATGGCTTAATTACTTAAAAAAAAAACCAAAAAACAGTTCTCTTGAGATATAATTCATGTACCACTAAATTCACCCTTTAAAAATGTACAATTCAGTGGATTTTAGCATCTTTGCAAAGTTGAACAACTACCATCACTATCTAAGTTCAAATGTTTTCATGACCCCAAAAAGATCCCATATAAATTAAGTCATTCTCTCTTATAGTCTTGGCAACCATTTAATCTACTTTGCTTCTATAGATTTCCCAGTTCTGGATATTTCATATAAATGGAACCATACAATAGATGGATAGCCTTTTGTGACTAGTGTCTTTTATTTAGCAGTGTTTTCAAGGTTCATCCATGCTGTAGTATGTGTCAGTATATCATTCTTTTTACAAATAATATCCTATCACATGGATATGTTACATTTTGTTTAAGTATTCATCAGTTGATGGATATTTGGGTAGTTTCCAAATGGGGGATATTATCCCAAAAACTTTAAATTTTTTTGCAAATAATGGAGATTGAATCCCAATGAACTACATCTCTATTCCTTTATACATTTTAGTTTTGTTTTTGCCATGTTGGGGATGGAACCCAGGGCTTCATGTATGCTGAACAAGCACTCGACCACTGAGCTACATCCTGAACCCTATATTTATTTTGAGACAGGGTCTCACTAAGTTGATTAGACTGGTCTTGAACTTACAATCCTCCTGACTCAGCCTCCCAAGTGACTGAGATTATAGGTGTGTGCCACCACAAGTGGCTCAAAAGCTTTTCACAGATTATTTTTCAAATCAAATCCAAATAAGGCTCATACATTGAAATTAATTTATATGTCCCCTCAGCTACTTTAATCAATAGGTTTTTCTTCATTTCTTTCCCTTTTATTTGCTGAAGAAAAGAATTGCTTGCCATGTAGTTTTCCACTATCTACACTGGACCTATTACTTTGTGTCATTGTGTTCCTTTGTCCCCAATATTTCCAGGAAATGAGCAATCAAATCTGTAAGCATGATCACCTTCCCATCTGTTTTGGCAAGAATATGTTACAGGTGGTTCTGTCATCTTGGTTTTTTGATGTGCAATAATCAGGAACAAAATTCTACGTGTACATGTGCTTCTATTGAAGCAGTAGAGTAACATTTCAATTTATTTCCCAATTCTTTCTTCATGAGTTCTAAAAAATGCTGGCCTGTCAAGACACCATAACTCAGTGCAGAGATGTCTTCAGGGAACTCCAGAATCATACAACCCTGTCATTGTACCATTTATAAACTTAACTGCCATTTTCTTACATGTATTATGAAACATTCATTGATATGACAGTTTCCTAAACAAATGCTATGAAACAATTTCTAAAGTTAATTACCAATAGTTTGATACTTTAAAGTCACCAAAAATCTTGGGGACTTAACATTGCATTCCCTCCATCACAATAAACTCTGAGAGACATCTATATAATGTACTTTATCCAGAGAAGTAACTACGTATTCTTATGCTTTAATTATTTCTTTAAGTTATTGTGTTCACAAAACAAAGCAGTATGTCCAACCAGGTATAATTTGACAAAAGTTACACAGACTTTGACAAAAGTCACTGGAAACCTAAACAGTTAATCGTTTTTAAAAATTTGACTTTTTCTGAATAACTCATACTATAGCACCAACACTATATCAATAGCACCTGTGATTTGAGCCTTTAGGACAACTCTGAACTTTACATATGTTACAAAGGAATGCATTCTTACCTCTAAAATCTCAGTGAATGATTAAAATAACAAGTTAGGGCAGGTTAACTTGAGTCAAACATGTTATATGTAAATAAAATTTTAAGCTCATACTTAACTAAATGCCAACTATGCAAAAAATGCTTTGAAATTGTATTAATCACCAAGTTAACATAGCATTTGGTTTTAGCTTTTTTTAACATAGCATTTTTTTTAATTGAAAAATTATCCAGTTCTGAATTAATAACAAATCCCTACTTAATAACACTTCCCTTCATGAACCTATTATAATAGGTCGCTGTAGAATACACTTCATATTTCAATAACTTATTTAAAAATATTTTTATTATGAAGTAAGACCGTCTCCATTTGGTTGCTAATCTGAACCAAATTTGTGTGCTAAGGAATTCTCTTATGAAATGAATGAAAAAATAAAAGTAAAATACCTTAAAATGTCCCGTGCCTTCATTAGCACTGAAAAATGAGAGCAAAGTTAATCAATATTTAATACTTTAAGTTAGATGTCTAGTCATAAAACAACAGAAAAATAACTTGAATATAAATATTTGAGAAACATCAGTCTAATGTAAAAGTCACCTAAGTCTTTAGGAAATAAATAAATGTAATTGTCATTTCTGCCACCTAGTGGTAAGATGAAGGCAGTTTTATCCAGCCACTACCATCCATACTTCAGAAGTTAAAAATACATTCTTTATAGAAAACGTCTAGAATTTTATTTACTTGCCATCTCATCTAGCATTATTAGTATATAATTGAAAATTTAAAAAATGTATATATTTACAATGTACAATGTGCCATTTCAGCTTCAATATATATGTACAACCAAATGATTAAATTGAGATAATATATCCATCCCTTCATAACTTTCTTTGTGGGCGAGGCCCACTGCAGATAGAACCCAGATGTACTTTGTCACTGAGCTATACCCTCAATCCTTTTTATTTTGAGACACGGTCTCACTAAGTTGCTGAGGGTCTTGCAAAGTAGCTGAGGCTGGCCTAGAATTTTCGATCCTCCTACTTCAGCGTCTCAAACTGCTGGGATTATAGGCAAATACCACCAGGTCCAGCTCATATACTTGTTTTGTGTGTGTGTGCAGTGAGAATATTTAAGCAATTTTTCAAGCACATAACACATTATTATTAATTGTAGTCATCATGTTGTACAATAAATTTGCAAAAAAGGATATCGTTAATATTTAGATTTTCCCCACACTTATTGTAACATTTTCCAACTTGAAGAACAATGTTTGTTTTTTAAAATCATAATGAATGTATTTTCCCTCCACAGTAATTTGATATAATTTCTTACAAGAAGGCTGCCACCTCTCTGCTGTTTTACTTGTAACATAACCACTGGGCTTGATTTTACTGTTTGCCTTTTACAGAAAAGCCCAAAGGGATTTCTTTATTATATCACAGGGAGATAAGGAGCACTAACTTGTGTTGAGCATATACTGTGCTCCAGGCATTATCTTCTTATACTATGTATGATTTTCATTTAATTCTGACAATAGCCCTACAAATCAGGTATGGGTATTCCTATTCTACAGATGGGGAAATTGAGATCATAGAGGTTGAATAACTTGCTTCAAGTCACACAGAGCTATATATGATAAAGCTGGTATTCACACTTCATATGTTCCTTCTTCCCTATCATGTTATGAACAAGCAATATCACAATTGCATTATCTCCACAGTATTCTTTATTATAAAAATATAATACCTAAAAGGGGTTGGGATTATAGCTCAATGATAAAGTGCTTGCCTACCATTCACAAGGCTCTGGGTTCAATCCCTAGCACCATACACATACACACCAAACACACACACATGTTTATACAGAGATAGACATTATATATATAATATGCTGCATAATTTGTATACTATATTAATATACGTCTATATATTAGGTTAGAAACAATTGTTTATATAATATAGATATCTTAATAAAGTACAAATATATTACATATATATAAGATTACAATATAACATTAGAGTTATAAAATAAAACTTCTATTCATTACAAGAATGATCGCTTGGGCTAGGTGTGCCTTCTGTGGTAAAACATGTGCATGCACAAGATTTGGGTTCAACCCCCAGCATCAAAAAACAAACAACAACAAAAAAATGCCTGAAGAATGCGAGATGTATGGGCAAATGACTTCTGCCTGAATATCTAGAGGGATTTTCTTTTCCTTTTCTCTTTGTACTGGGAGATAAACCCAGGGATGCTTTACTACTGAGCTACATCCTCAGCCTTTTTTAAATTTTTTCTTTTGAAACAGGATCTGGCTAAGTTATTCAAGCTGTCTTCAAATATTTGATCCTCCTGCCTCAGTCTCCCAAATCACTGGGATTACAAGCATGTATCATCATGCCAACTTCCAGAAAGTTTCTTAACTGACAAAGGGAGCCCATTCTACTTGTGGGCAACTTTGTTAGAAAGCCTTTCTTGTACTAAATTGAACATATTTCTCCTGGCAACCTATACCTTACTACTGGCCTCATTTTGTCTATTGGTGCTCTTGTAAATTAGATCTTTCTCATGTGATAATTCGACTTAAAAAAGTTTTGGGGGGCCAGGTGCAGTGGTGCATGCCTATAATCCCAGCAATTCAGGAGGCTAAGGCAGGAGGATGGTGAGTTCAAAGCCAGCCTCAGCAAAAGTGAGGCACTAAGTAACTCAGTGAGACCCTGTTTCTAAATAAAATACAAAATAGAGCTGGGAATGTGGCTATAATCCCCAGGACCACCCCCCCCCAAAAAAAAAATTTTGCTAAATTGCTGAGGCTGACTTTGAATTCATGATCCTCCTGTCTCAGCCTCCCGAGCTGCTGGGATTATAGGCATTTACTACCACACCTGGCTCCATGCGATCATCATCTAAAGATCTGAAACTAACTATTTTGTTCTTCCACAGCCAAATAAAATACATACATTTAGAAACCTTTTTTTTTAGTTGTAGACCAACACAATAGCTTTATTTATTATATGTGGTGCTGAGGATCCAACCCATTGCCTCACACGTGCTAGGAAGCACTCTACCGCTGAGCCACAACCCAAGCTCTCAAACCTTTTATTATTTTGATTACACCTTGATTTACCAACCTCTCTCAAAATGTGATACCTACCCAGAGATGATCACAGTACTTTTGATGGGCAAATGCAAAATACAGTGGATATTACCTCTCTGGTTTACAAAAAACTACTATGCATCAAGTTTTAGCCATATCATACTCATATATCCTATGAATCCGATTTTTTTTAGCATTTATATGTTGTATAGAGTACCATGCACGACCTAACCAATCTTTCATTCTCTTTGCTTTCTTTACTTATTTATTGTAAATAAATACAAGCACTCTACCACTGAGCCACAACCCCAGGCCTCTGCATTATTTCAATCTTAAGAACATGGTAAAAGGGCTGGAGCTGTAGTTCAACAATAGAGTACCTGTCTAGCACATGTGAGGCACTGAGTACAATCCTCAGCACCACATAAAAATAAATTAAGAAAGGTATTGTGTCCATCTATAACTAAAAAAAAAAAAAAAAAAAAAAAAATTTTAAAAGAATATCAGATGGACATTATTACCCTAGGTATGTACAAACGGTGTGTCTCTAAACCATGTACAACCAGAGAATTGAAATGTTGCACTCCACTTGTGTACAATGAATTGAAATGCATTCTGCTGTCAGATACAACTAAGTAGAACAAATAAAAATAAGCCTAATCAAAAAAAAGAACATGGTGGGGGGGAGCTGGGATTGTGGCCCAGTGGTAGAGTGCTCACCTAGTGCATGCAAGGCCCTGGGTTTGATCCTCAGCACCACATAAAAATAAATAAAATAAAGGTATTATGTCCAACTACAACTAAAAAAAAATTTTTTTTTTTTTTAAAAAAGAACATTGGGAGGCTGATTCAGGAGGATCATAGGTTCAAAGCCAGTCTCAGCAATAGCAAGGCACTAAGCAACTCAGTGAGACCTGTCTCTAAATAAAATACAATAGGGCTTGGGATGTGGCTCAGTGGTTGAGTGTCCCTGAGTTCAATCCCCAGTATCCCCCCCCCAAAAAAATAGAACACGTTAAGAACTGTTAAGAACACACCGAGGGGCTGGGGATGTGGCTCAAGCGGTAGCGCGCTCGCCTGGCATGCGTGCGGCCCGGGTTCGATCCTCAGCACCACATACAAAATGGAGATGTTGTGTCCGCCGATAACTAAAAAATAAATATTAAAAAAAAAAAAAATTCTCTTTCTCTCTCTCTCTCTTTAAAAAAAAAAAGAACACACCGAGGGGGCTGGGGTTATAGTTCAGCAATAGAGTGCTGGCCTAGCACATGAAAGGCCCTGGGTTCGATCCTCAGCACCACATAAATAAATAAATAGATAGATAGATAGATAAAGGTATTGTATACAGATAAAGGTATGTATATATAGAACACACTGAGTATTTGTTGTTTTTACAACAAACCTGTGAGTTGCTGTTAGAATTCTCAATTTAGAAATATAGAACTGAAGGGCTGGGGATGTACCTCAGTAAAAGAGCACTCGCCAAGGGCTGGAGTTGTGGCTCAGTGGTAGAACCTTGTCTAGCACATATGAGGCACTGGGTTTGATCCTCAGCACCACATAAAGATAAATAAATAAAATAAAGCTATTGTGTCCATCCAAGACTAAAAGAAATATTAAAAAAAAAAAGCACTCACCTAGGTGAGGCCCTAGATTCTAAATTTTTCTAAGAAAGGCATTTTATTCTGTGAGTTATGTAAGTATAGTATCTGAGAACGTTTGACACATGCCAACTCTATGACCACGATAAGTCTGTTTTACAAAGCTGCACTCTAAAGGAATATACCATATCCTACAGTGTTTGAAGCAATTGATTTGAATTAGATATCTAACTACTTTGGAAAATAACTTGGCAAAATCAAAATAAAATTGAGAAGAAATATATCCTAAGACTCAGCAGATCTATACCCTTAGATCTACTACATATGCACAAAAAAGATCCGTAGAAAAATGTTTCTAGCAACACTGTAATAGCAAAAAACAACAACAAAAATAAACACCTGGAAACCACCAAATTGTTTAGCAGTACAAGAAAAGGTACATCATCACATATTCATTTTAATGAATTATCAGACAATGGTGAAAATGAATGAATTAGTGTTATACTTTCTAACATGAGTGATTCACAAAATTGAGTAAAAATAAGCAAGTTAAAAAACACACTATGCAATTAAAGTTTTTAAATTTGTAAAAACAATTCTATATGTTGTTTAGAAAAGGATACATTTTGTTAAGCCTATGAAAAATGATAATAAACCCTACTTTTAGGAAAGTTGTTATTAACTTCTGAGGGAGAGAGATGAACAGAATAGGTAGCCATGATAGCTACATTACTAATGGTTTCTTTCTTTCTTTCTTTTTTTTTTATTGGTACCAGGGATTGAAACCAGGGACACTTAACCACTGAGCCACATCCTCAGCCCCCAGGCACCACCCCTCTATTTCAATCTCACTCTTTCTTTCTAGAACAGTCTAAATTGCTCAGGGCCTCGATAAGCTGATGAGGCTGGACTTGAACTTGCAATCCTCCTTTCTCAGGCTCCAGAGTTGCTGGGATCACAGAAATGTGCCACCACATCTGGCCTAATGGTTTATTTCTTAAACCAGATGATGAAGCTATCCATGGCTATTGTGCTATTTTTTTTTTAATATTTATTATTTTTTAGTTGTAGGTGGACACATATCTTTATTTCATTTTTATGTAGTGCTGAGGTTTGAACCCAGGCCTCACATGTGCTAGGCTCGAATTCTACCACTGAGCTACAATCTCAGCCCCAATTGAGCTATTTATACCTTTTTCTAAATCTTAAATATTCTATATTTTATTTATTTAGGTACTAGGGGTTGAACAGAGAGGCATTTTGCAACTAAACTGTATCCCTAACTCTTTTTTATTGTTTGAGATATGGTCTGGCTTAATTGCTGAGGCTTGTCTTAAAATTGTGATCTACCTGCCTTAGCCTCCCCAGTCACTGGGATTATGGGAGTGTGTCATCATACCTGGCTCCATATTATTATTTTTGGTACCAGGGATTGAACCCAGGGATGCTTAACCACTAAGCCACATCCCAGCCCTTTTATTTTTAGAGAGGATTCTGCTAAGTTGCTTAGGGTCTTGCTAAATTGCTGAGGCTGGCTTTGAACTTGAGATCCTCCTGTCTCAGCCTCCTAAGCTGCTGGGATTCTAGGCATGCACCACTGTCCCCAGCTCCATAATTAATTTTTAAAGGGATATAAGAAAAACTTGATTTTACCTGAGTTTTGAATAACTTTATAATTTTGGGACTTAAAAAAAAAGTCCTTGTTGGGCTGGGGATATAGTTCAGGTTGGCAGAGTGCTTGCTTTGCATGCACAAGGCCCTGGGTTCAATCCCCATTACCACCAAAAAAAAAAAAAAAAAAAGAAGAAGAAGAAGAAAATGTCTTTGTTAAGATCAATGGGTAGACTTTTAGGATACTCACCCAATGAACTCCAGTAATAAAGACATGTCAAGTTCAGGTGGAATACGAAACACTGATTCTAGGACTTTCTTAGTTCTTCCTTTGCTTGAAGGGACTGACTGTGGAACAGCTATTTGATAACCAAACAAGAAAGCTGATTTAGGATAAATTTTTCATAAAGTAAGATATTTCAAAAAAATAATTATATGTGTATTAGAATTATGTTGACTAAAATGTCATAAAGCACTCAATCCTCCTTTCATTAATAGTATCAACTAATGTCAAAATTAGTGAAATTAACAGCAAATCAAGGACCTCCTCCACAATGGAAAGCTGAAGTATGTGGCTGGTTTATCAGGGCCACAGAGAGTTCACCAGAACATCAATATTTGTAGATAACACTTTTTAAACACTACTATGTGCCAGGGTTCATGCTTAGCAATTACATACATTTCATTTTTTTTAAAACTGATAAGAAAAAAACCCCTGAAGCTTAGTAGATTAGGCAATTTGCCTACAGTCAACAGGATTTAAACCCAAATCTATCTGACTTCTATACTGTGTGTGATATTACCAGCATCATAAAAACTAATGTCTGAGCAGTTACTATGTGCCAGGCACTGTTTTAAGTGCTTATATTACTGATTTTTTTTTTTTAATGAACTGCTTCTATAACCCCTCTTTTAAAGATGAGGAAACTGACGCATTGAAGTAACTTGCTAGAGTCACCTAATAAAATGGTAGAGCTAGGAGTGAATTCAGAAAATCTAGCTCCAGGGCCTGTACACCCTAATTCTTTTATTCTTATGAACAATTAAATTGGGTTACACTGTAGCACTGCCCTCAAAACATTTCTCTTTCATCACATAATAACTAGCTATCCCCAAAAAAGAACTTCAAAGGCCATGATTTCAGTAAGTTAGTATTCTGTAATCTATAAATACATTATAGTATACACCCAAACTTACCAGGTTTAGGTACTTCTAGACCTCTTTCTTTATAGAAATCATGCATTTGCTTTTTTTCTCCTAAAAAATGATAAAACACAAACTAAATTACACTTAAAATGTAACTAGTAGAATCAGAGATGCTGGGGTTCACAACTATGTAATAAAAGAAACTTACTTTCCTCTAGATTGATCACTAATTTGTACACTATATCTTGTAATTGTCGGTCCAACCTAATAAAAGGAAAGGATGGAGAATACCTCAGAATTCATAAAAATGCATTTTCCTACAGTGATTTAAGTGTGTTTTCCCAGGGGAATGGGCATCTCCTTTTTCAGTGGCAAGTTACTTTTAGGTCTCACTTAAAGCTCCTGAGACATAACTCACCGAGGAGAATCTCAAGTAATTAGTCACAAGTACTCATAGATTCTTAAATGGGTCACTAAATTATTCCCTGTGTTTTGGTATTATTCCCTCAAAAAGAATGTGAGCTTGAGGGTAGACACTGTATTTTTAACTTCTGTGTATCATCTATAAAACACTCTTCTATCAAGGCAATACAAAATCAACAGTATTTTCTGAGAAAATTAAATTACTCTACTTTCAGTATTTTTCTTCTCTTTAGAAATTAAACATTCACTAAAACTTGTCTTAACAGCTATAATGATCCATAACAGATAAGTTGTACTACAGAGGCCAGTTGTTTCAGGTCTTACTTCTAAAAAAAATTCTAAATACTGTATGATAAAAATGACAAGACTAAACTAGCCCCATCAACTTGTATGATGGGATTTAAAAACCTCAAATAAAGAGGCTTGTTTCCCTTTCTTTTTCTTTTCCTATCTTTTACCTCTCTTTTCAAATCCCCAGTAGATACCACAGTGCCTGGTACATAGTAAGTGCTCTACACACATTTCTTTAAAGAATACGTAGTTCTCTTTCTTCTAATTTTGAGGGAGTAAAGAATTTATTCCCAACTACACAACTTCAAGCTTTCAGAAAAAGTATACTTAAAACAATTGTTACATAAATATTCCTCTTACCTTATATTGTAAAGTGGTTGTGTCTGATGTACAACTACGTTGCATTTTGGACATCTGTTGCTATAGTAAAAATGTCTTACAATGCAGCTTTTACAAACTGTTAAAAAGAAAAGTTTAAATTAGGATTCTTTAAACATTTCAAAAATTAATGATGTTATTTAGAAATGTAAACTGTATGCTTACACGTATGAAGACATTCTGTAATGGTAGTTGCATCTATTAAATAACCCTTGCAAATGGAACACAAGATATATGGTGTCAGCTCAGCAAGATTAATCAGGCGCTGCAAATGCAATGGAAATAGTTTTAAAATACGTCTTTGCCTTCTCAAATTCTTTTCCTCCCCAACTAAACACATATATAATTTTTTAAAAAATACTTTTTAATTGACAATGGACCTTTATTTTATTTGTTTATATGCCATTCTGAGAATCCAACCAGTGCCTCACACATGCTAGGCAAGTGCTCTATCACTGAGCCACAATCCCAGCCCCTAATTTAATACATTAGAATAAATAAACTTCATTTTTTCCCCTGCCTTTCTGCACACTGGGGATTGAACCCAATGGCACTTTACCACTGATCTACATTCCCAACTCTTTTGCTGAGGTGGCCTCTAACTTACATCCTCCTGCCTCAGACTTCTCAGCAGTTGGGATTAAGGGCCTGTGCCCAGCTGCCTTCTCAAATTCTTAAACTAGCAGGTGAGGTGGTCTGGGTCTGTATTCCCAGCTACTTTGGAAGCTGAAGCAGGAAGATCTCAACACTGAAAGCTGGAGATCAGCTCCGGCTACTCAGTGAGAAAGGTCTCAAAACAATTTAAACCACATCTCAGCAGGGCACGGTGGAGCATGCCTGTAATCCCAGGTTTGGGAGGCTTAGGCAGGAGGATCTGGCGTTCAAAGCCAGCTTCAGCAACGGTGAGACGCTAAGCAACTCGGTGAGACCCTATCTCTAAATAAAATACAAAATTGGGCTGGGGATATGGCTCAGTGGTTGAGTACCGCTGAGTTCAAACCCCGGTATCACCTCCCCTCACCCCCCAAAAAAACCCCACATCTCAAGATCTGTTACAAACAGCATGAAACTTAATTACAACATGGAAATCTATACCTCTAACCCTTCAAACTCCTACTAAAAGTTACAATGATACAATATAAAGCAATGTTTCAGAGGGATCTCAATCTCTTGGATATGCAGTATACTGGCAGTGAAAGAAGGCCTCATTACACCTTACACATTGCTTAGAAAATGGGCAAACATTACACATACTGGAGGACAAGTTTAATAATTTGGTCAGTTGCATTACCTAACTTGATGAAGAATGTGCTACTACGTTAAAAAAAAAAAAAAAAAAAGAAAGAAAAGAAAAACCACCCTCCGTTTACAGAATGAATAGGTAGAGTGCCTATTATCTGGGTCGCACTGTAAACCCGTGGACTGCAAGGGGCACGGCACCCTAGGAGTCTAATCCGTCCGTCAAGCAGTAACCTCAATAATTATTTGCAGAATGAATGACTGGGACCCAGAGGGCCTGAGCAACCTACGGAGACCTCACAAAACAAGTCGGCTGGGAATCGGCCAGGGTCAGAGGCCTCCCCCAGCCACACGCCTGGGCAGGCAGGGCGAGGAGGGCTTGAGGTACACACGAGTGCCTAGGGCTGCAGCAGAGAGCCGGGGTCGGCCCCGGGGACCCGCGAGGGCGAGCTAGGTCCTCGAGGCCACGAGGCCCAGCAAGATCAAGCGGGGGCCATATATACCTCCTCTTCGTCCTCAGAGTCCGGCCGGCCCCCTTCCAGCCTCAGCGAGAAGTGGCTCAGCTCTTCCTCCTCCTCCTCCTCTTCCTCCTCCAACTCCTCATCCTCTTCCAGCTCCTCGTCGTAGTCTTCGAAGCGACCCCTCAAGCGGCCCAGGCTGCGCTCGGGCTCCAACTCAGGGGGCCGGGAGCCGGAGCAGCCTGGAGCCCCCACCTCGGGCAGAGGAGCCGGGCCCTCCTCGCCGGCCGCGGGCGGCTGGATGAGGGCAGGTGGGGACACGGGAGGCGGCGGCGGCATGACTGCGGCTCCCTCCGCCGTGGCAGCTCCCGCGTTGCCTGCCGTGATCGCCGCGACCCCTTCCATGGCCCCGGCAAAATCGGACCAGAAAAGCTAAGTGCCGCGACGGGAGAGCGCGGGAGTTCAGTCGGACCGCCTTCACTGACAGTGCGCAGGCGCGGGAGCCCTGCAGGGGACGCTGGGAGATGTGGTTCACCTAGGCCAAGGTGAAGCGGGACGCTCAGGTATATGGGGCGGAGCTCGCGGCTCGCACCTTAAAGTAATCTCACCCAATTTTGCCTTTGAAAGGCTTGATTCTTGGCACTAACTTTAAAAATGACTAAACTACCTCAGTTTCAGACAATGATATGCTTGACATCAATTTATGCAGAACACTGAACTAAATGCCATATGATGTTGCATTATGAATCAAGATGATTTCAGTTCGAATACAAATTACATGTTTCTTCTGTGGCAAATTATATTCACCCAAGCTTATTTCCCTTTACAAGTATGAGATTCCTATTTTGAAATATGTAAATTTATTTATTTTAAGGAATTATACATTATATTGCCACAGGATGTAAATCTATCCAATATTGGAAGGTTGTCCATTATACGCTATCACATAATGAAAAATTAATTCTATTTAGATCAACGAACATTTATTGAGGGTCTTCTATAGCAGAAACTGAGACCCACACACATCCTCTTCCCCACTCCCCACCCCTGATTTTATTAGAAGAGAGTTTTGGAGTTGAATTACATTATCCTTACTAAGATAATATCTGTTAATGTCAGAATGTCTGCAAGACAGCCAGGTTCAGGAAGTCAAATGCTCCTTAGCTTAACAATTCTGGGGGGCAAGGGGGCAAGGTCACATTTCATAAAATATGTTGTTACTGAATTAAAGTCAGTTTGATCATGTGTTAAAATGGACAAATTATTTTATCTTACCAATGGTATAATAATGAAGGTAAGGATGCAGAATAGGCTTTTCATTTGTTGGTGACAGTTTAAGTAATTCAACCTTAAAGAAGGGAATTTGGTGCCAGGTATGATGGTACGTATCTGTAATCCCAGTGACTCAGGAGGTAGGAGGATTGCAAGTTCAAGGCCAGTCTGGGCAACTTAGTGAGACCTTATTTCAAAATAAAAAAATTAAAAAGTAACTGGGGATATAACTCAGTTGTTAGAGTGCTTGCCTCATATGACCAAGGCCCTGAATTTAATTCCCAGCACCAAAAATATAAATAAATAAATAAATAAATAAATAAGGACTGAGGATATAGCTCAATGGCAGTGTGCCCCTGAGTTCAATCCCTAATACTAAATAAATAAATAAATAAAATAAAAAGAAAGAAAGAAATAGTGGCAAAATCATATCAATAGTTAGTTAAAGTATTGGGATTAATGTGGTTTTTCTTTGTTGTCTTTTCTGTAATGTGTGATCTTTTTTTTAATAAAAATTGTATGTGATTAAAGCTTGAAGAAACAGGGGCTGGGTTTGTGGCTCAGTGATGGAGCACTTGCCTTGTACATGTGAGGCACTGGGTTCAATCCTCAGCACTACATACAAATAAATAAATTAAATAAAGGTATTATGTCCATCTACAACTAAAAAATAAATAAATAAAAGACTGAAAAACAGATGAAAATTATCAATGAAAAAAGCTAAGTAGAAAAAAAGGTTTTTCATGGAAATAGACATGTTAATTTTAAGTTTCATATGGAGAAATACAAATGTAAGAATATCCAGGAAGTTGGGTGTTGTGGCCCAGGCTTGTAATCCCACCAGCTCAGGACGCTGAGGCAGAAGGATCATTAGTTCAAAGCCATCCTCAGCAATTTAGGGAGGTACCGAGCAACTCAGGGAAGCCCTGTCTTTAGATAAAATATTTTAAAAGGCTGGCAGTGTGGTTCAGTAAGCATCCCTGGTACAAAAAAAAAAAAAAATAGCCAGGAAAACACTGTAAAACAAAAGCTACAGATGGACAACCTCTACCAAATATTAAGGCCTTCTTAATGAAAATCTTGTGTGTCTTACTGTGTGAATAAACAGACAAACCAGAGAGCCCAGAAATGAATAAAAGTGTTAGGGGACAGATTAGAAAGATGGGAACAAGAGGTTAAGAGAATAATTCTACAAAATGGGCCAACTGTGCTGACTCCCACATGCTTTCTTTTCCAAAAAGCAATTTGCCTGCAGCCCTGCCTGACCTAAGTGGCCTAAGTGAACAAGATATGTCACATTCTTCAGCAAACTGCAGGAGAAATACAGGCCCAAAATAATGTTGATAAAAGGAATCCAAGTTACCCTGAAGAGAGAGACTTTTTTGACCAGACCCTGAAACTCTGGGAGATAAGGATTGTCCATTAACTAGGAGGATAGTCCATTTAACCATTAAATCCATAAAAATGTATGGTTAGAGGGGCTGGGATTGTGGCTCAGAGGCAGAGCGCTTGCCTAGCACACATGAGGAACTGGATTCAATCCTCAATCCACATAAAAATAAATAAAGGTATTGTGTCCATCTACAACTAAAAAAATATTAAAAAAAAAAAACTGAATTGCAGGAGGTGCACATTGTCCTAACCCTCTCTGAGAGGACCCACTCTCTCCACTGAGTGTCCCCTTGCCTTTTCCTATCCCTTCAATAAACTCATTTCTGTTATTCTAAGTGACATGTCTGAAATCTTTCTGACTTGATCACAAGAATCAGGGCGTGAAAGGGGCCTTTACACTGCCTCAGTTTCCTGGAAGGCCCCAGCTCTGTAACAAAAGTACATATGGAACTTCAGTATATGTTAAAGATGACAAATCACTGAGGCAAAGATAGACTCTTTCATGAAAGTGCTTAGGAAAAATGGTTAATCATTTTGTGAGAAAAGAGTTAAAATAGCATGTTTGGTTACTTATTCTTTTCTGTGTTCAGGGAACTTTGAACTATGATTGACCTTTGGTCAACCTCTGGAAGTATGGCCTTTAACATTTTTTTTTTTAATATCCGTAATTGATGATTTGCTTGTGTGCACCTGGAGCAACAGACCATGCTGTGCCAGTCTGTCAAATTGCTTTGTACAAACATCAAGATTTATGATGCACATGCACCTGGTTTTGTGTTGGAGACCTGAGTTTTAGTTGCTAAGGCTGGCTGGGTAGCAGGATATGTCTCCCATATGACTAGGCCCTCATAAAATTCTGAGATCCTAAAACTCAAACATATCACATGTGTCCTTATGATTGGCTGCTACAAAGAAAGCATGTTCTGTATGGCCCTGGATAAGAAAGACACAGAAAGTGTATCTGCCCCTCTGGACTCTGCCAGTATGTTTTCTGCTGCTTTTGTTTTGTATCCTTTGCTGTAATAAACCTCTTTCTTGGGTATAACCTGCTACTGAGTCTTGTGAGTATTTTAAGTGAATTGCTAAATCCAAGGCAGTGTGGAATTTCTGAAATACTTTTCAAAAGAGAGTTAACAGCCATAACTCATATCATATGCAAGATTAAAGCTGAGATTGATTAGAAATTTAATTGTAAAAAAAAATAAATAAACCTCACAGGGCTAGGGGTTGTGGCTCAGTGGCAGAGTGCTTGCCTCACACATGTGAGGCACTGGGTTTGATCCTCAGCACCACATTAAAAAATAAATAAAACAAAATAAAGATACTAAAAAGAAAAAAAAAGCAAGCTGGGGATATAGCTCAGTTGGTAGAGTGCTTGCCTTGCATGCACAAGGCCCTGGGTTCAATCCCCAGCACAACAACAACAAAAAAAAGCAAATTACCTTTAAAAAAAGGATAAACCTTATAGGCTCTAGAAGAAAATATCGATAAAGTCCTCTTTAACAGGGTTGAAAGGAAAGTCAACCCATCTATGATTCTAAATCCAAATGCAATAAAAAGATTGATAAATTTGATTTCATAAAAAAACACACAGGCCCCCCAAAATATAAACAATATCAAAAGTTAATGAAAAAGTTGTAAGAAAAAAATTGCAACATCCATCTCTGATAAACAGTTACTACTGCATATAGCTCTATATGTTTCACTCACATTTATGATAATAAAATAACATCTTAATTTATTAACATTTTTTTTGATGATTGAATTGATATTTTATTTTATTATTTTTTTTTAATTTTTTATTGTTGGTTGTTCAAAACATTACAAATTTCTTGACATATCATATTCCACACTTTGATTCAAGTGGGTTTAATTTATTAACATATAATCTACTTTTTGTGTGTGTGTAATGCTTGGGATGGAACAAATTCAGGGTCTCACACATGCTAGGCAAGCACTCTACCCCTAAGCTATATCCCAGCCCTAAACCACTCTTATAAAATTATGGGAGGCAAAAAACCAAATGCCATGTGTTTTCTCTGATATAAGGAGGCTGATTCATGGTGGGGTAGGGAGGGGGAGCATGGGAAGAAGAGACAAATTCTAGATAAGACAGAGGGGTAGGAGGGAAAGGGAAGGGGAATAGGGTTAGAAATGATGGTGGAATGAGATGGACATCATTATCCAAAGTACATGTATAAAGACACAAATGGTATGAATATACTTTGTATACAACCAGAGATATGAAAAATTGTGCTCCGTATGTATAATATGAATTGTAATGCATTCCTCTGTCATATATAACAAATTAGAATAAAAAATTAAAAAAAAAAATTAGGAGAGGGCTGGGGCTGTACAGAGCACTGGCCTAGCATGTGTGAGGCACTGGGTTCAATCCTTAGCACCACATAAAAATAAACAAATAAAATAAAAACATTCTGTCCATCTACAACTACAAAAAAAATTTTTTTTTTTTAATTTAGAGGAAAAAGTCTATTTATGGTGGTGCATGCCTGTAATCTCATTGACTTGGGAGGCTGAGGAAGGAGGATCACAAATTTGAGGTAAGTCTCAGCAACTTATCAAGGCCTTAATCAGCTTAGTGAGACCTTATCTCAAAATAAATATAAAAAGGGTTGCTGAGCCAGTGGCAGTGGGCATACCTTGTAATACCAATGGCTCAGGAGGCTGAGACAGGAGAATTGAAAGTTCAAAGCCAGTGTCAGCAATAATGATGCCCTAAGCAATTCAATGAGATCCTGTTTTTAAATAAAATACAAAATAGAGCTGGGGATGTGGCTCAGTGGTTGAGTGCCCCTGAGTT